ATATAGCAATGTTATCCGTTCAAAATATATTTTTTATTATATATTGTATCAATTATATTTATAAAAATAATATATTCCATTGTTGTTCGTTTCTTATTTACATGATCATTGATTCCTTCTTTATCTTACTTTAGTTTTTGTTTTGTTCTAAATCTCGTCAAAAATAAATAAATTACTCTATTCTTTATTACTTCGAAATCCAACAGATCAATTCGAAAGCTTTTGAACGGAGTGTTGTTAAAATGGATTTAATTATTATTTATCGTACATATGTACAGTAAGTGTTTTTTTTCGATAGTTTGTACATTCCGTATGATTTCATAGTTATTCTAAAATATAATAGATGTTGGCGAGAGGTATTGGCATGCACGTTTTGGAGCATGCATGCGCATGACGTATAAAAACACACGATTTTGGAAACGTTAAAAATACGTTAAGAGAGTAAATATATATGTAAGGTTGAATTTCGAAAATTTAATAAGAAGTTGTGACAGATTATTTGATTGGCTATTTTTCACATTGCACTGCTGACACCTCTCTATGTATTTTTGAAAGCAAACATGTATCAATTCTACAATGATGCATCACCGTTTCACAACGAGTTTGAAATAAAAAACCAAGATCAAGTTGGGCAGTTTGAACCAGTTGCAAGGTGTTGTGCAGTTATAAATAAAGTTAACAACGTAGTGTTTTTTATCCAAACGTTTCGGCTTTATTCAACATCCATCTTCAGTGGATTAAACTATAAACAATCCTCTCCAAAAGAGCGTTGTCGACCTTGTCGTGTTTGTGTCAAAAATTAAAAGTTGTTGTTATAAAGAAAGTCGAGACAACACTGTTTGAAATATTATAACATTGAGAAGAAATCTTCTTGTAATATGTATGCAATGTAATTTCAATGCTGTATGAGGAATGTTACAGATGTTAGTTTCGTTCCTCGTAGTATTATTGCGACTTTTTCTGTTTAGATGATTTAGAATATGTTTTTTTATAAAAATTGTAAAATAAGTACACAAATATTAGTATATTTATTAGAAAGATATATAATATCAGCCAATGTACTTCGCTATTTGTGTCTTCCCTCGGTTTGCATAATGGAGAGAAGTATGATTGTGACAATGGTAATATTATCATCACAAGCTGTATCTGTAGTATCACAAAAAGAAAAAGAATAAAAAATAATACACAATTAATGCACACATAATGTTTATAGATATCTATTGTAAATAATCTCAGCATAATAAATTGTTCTTTATTGTGACTAACATATTATTTAGAAAAACAAATTACATTATCACAATATAAAAAAAAAATTTATCATTATTGACTCTCTTCTACAAATTTTCTAAACTGCTTTGACAAAACTGAACAATAATAAAGTTTAATTATATAAAATAAAAATGTATGTTTCATTATATAAAATACAACTTACCATTTGTAACTTAGTTATATAAGGTTTGATTGGAGACATCATTTGTTGAAATTCTGTGCTCCATGCAGCCACAAAGTAATACATGTACATACATACGTGTACAGCACAATTAAACAAACATATATATGTCACTCTTTCGTCTGCACCATATTTTAAATACAGCCATACATACAATACAACAGTTATATGATGGTATACGTGCAGAGCAGAGACCTGATTTTGTTTCTTCCTTAATACAAATATAACAGTTTCGATATAATCAAATATTTTCAATACAAATAGCCACCAAGTTATAGTAATTAGCTGAAATGCATAAATGTTTATAAAGTAGAAACCATTCGACTGCGTGCGATTGTCGTTTCGGTTAGAAACGACCAATATTGCGGTAAAATAAAGGATGAAATATACAGTTTCTTACTTATGCAAATGTATATAATAAACAATTTTTACAATCTGTGTGCATAGTTTTACAAATTATCCTCTAATACTTATTATAAACTTACTTTCAGAGCACTGGGCTTATTCAAATCTGATGGATAATTGCATATCAGGCTATATTCCGTGAACCAACCACTAGATATATACTCTTTTACAAACCACGCATTTATTAGAACTTGAAATAAGTTGTAAGATAATATAAAGGCTTTTAAATTAAAAGGCGGTCTATCTTTCATATAACGAGGACCGGCATAAAAAATAAAATACAAATATATAACGCTAATAACAAATATTGGTAATGGTGAGTCTACCAGTAACCAACCTCGAGTTTGCGGCACTGCAAATAAAATTGCAATATATTTTTTTAGAATATAAAATTAATATTCCTAAATAAAATAAATATTTAAATTACACAATTAAGAAATTATCGGCTCCGAAGTTTCTAAACTAAGAAATAAGAATTTTGGTCATGAGAGCCGTTTCACAGGATGTTGAACGGAAAAACCGCGTGTGAATATATGCATACATATATATGTATGTATTTGTCTTCGTGTAAATTTCTTTACACGTTGAATTTGAATTGAAATTTTTTTAATTCTAAAAATCACAAAGGATGCTGGATTTGCATCTCATATGTGAAAGATCCCGAAACCCCCCTAAACTAATTTTTAAAATATTGCGAAAAAAACTCCTCAGCCAGGAGTCGAACC